TAACCCCCACCCCGGCCAGGCCCCCCCCCCGGCCCCCCCCCCGGCCCCCCCCCCCTGCACCCCATCCGTGCCCCTCCCACCTTGCTAAATGCTCGGGGGGCTCCCCAACCGCTGCTGACCATCACGTTCAGCCGGGGCTGGTACCAGAAGTCGTACCCGTACGGCGTCTCCTCGCCGCTCCACACACCCTTGATGCTGCAATACATACATACATACATGCATACACGGGCATTCTTCGCTTTGAGAAAACTGTGTGTATGGCATTTCCCAAACCTCAAACTGGCCATCGACCCACATTTAAATCGGCGCTCGCACCCAATCTACAAACCTTGCTTACCATCCCCCCCCTCCCCCTCCCCCCCCTCCCCCCCCTCCCCCCCCCACATCTCCCCCCATGCACGCGCACTCACCTCAAGTCTTGATTCAGCAGCAGGAACGACCCACGTGCCGTACCTTCCTTATCACCCATGGCGCTGATCTGCAACGGGACACCAGCATACTAAGGCCCTCAGGATGTACGACAAACACAATCACATGAACCCTACTCCACTAACTGACCGACTATGTCTGAAGCGACGTACGGGTCCGCCGACGCCGTCAACCATCGTCATCGTCATCGAGTCATCTTCCTTGCCGTTCTCATTGCGGCCGCCACCGTCGCCGGTACGACAGCCACCCATACCCATCAGCAAATCCCATTCCCAGGGCCGCCACAAGGGGTTTCACGCCCCCTCTCTCCGGGCCGTACGTGTGGCAAATCCCATCCCCAGGGCTGTACAACGAACTCTACGCAAATACCCAAACACACAGACACACGCACCATGATGCTTCCGTCCGGCGCGCCTGCAAACAGGAGATAGGGACGCGGGAAGGGGGGTTGCGAGGACGACCGGTTTGAGATGAGGCGGGATGTCGCCTGGGGGGTTCTGCTGTACTACAGCATCCGAAAATGTTAAGACGCCAACCTCCCAGACCGCCTAGGTCCAGCGATCTAAAACCATCACACTCCCACAACCCATGGAAGCGTTACATCCAAGAACATGTCCTCCAACGCCTTCCCCTCTCCCGGCGGTTTTCAGTTGTTGGTTTTAAACTCCTAACCTCCCTAACCTCCCGCACGTACTGCTACCCGCTACCCGCTTAAGTTGGGGTATTCTTTTCCCCTTCCCTCCCTCCCCCTCCCCGCCTCCCCGCCTCCCTCCCCCCCGACCTTCGCGCTCCCTTCTCCCTCCTCTATCCGCACCAGCAGTACAGCAATAGCAGCAATACAAGTAGTACCGAACCACCACCACCACAACCACTCACAGTGGCTCGTGTGCAGGTAGCTCAGGCCAGTGGCGGACTGGATATCCCCCGGCTCGGCAACGGCGCCCAGGCGGGGGGCTCGGGGGTCGGTGGCGGTGTCGATACCTGCGAAACACACACACACACTCACACACGATATATATACAGACATTTGTACGCATTTTGCAACCACACACCGCACACCCACCGACGTGATGGACCACCACAGCGCCGCTCAGTGAAGGAGAAAGAGATTTAAATGCACAGACGACAGGGCAGCGGACGACAGGGCAGCGGACAGATCACGAATGACAGTTGGATGGCAGTTAAAAAACGACACGTGTGTATAGTGTGGATGTATATATACTCGAAACCCAAGGCAACGTCGTCCCTGTCCCTCCTTCGGCTTTCACATCTTTTTACTCCTCTCCCCTCCTCTCCCCTCCTCTCCCCTCCTCTCCCCTCCTCTCCCCTCCTCTCCCCTGTGCGTTGTACGGATAACCAACTCACCGTACACTCGGCCGCTGCCCAAACACGGCAGGATGAGCAGCCGGCGAGCGGGCGCTGAGGGATCCGCGTGGCAGGACGAGCACGAGTTCCACCCTGTGCGTACGTATGTATGTACGTACGTATATTTGTTTAATGCGACCAATTGTGTATAGCCAGGTGGAGTGAAATGTGTGTATATGTGTGTGTGTGGGGGGGAGAAGGATAGGGGGCTGAGTCGTAAGATGGGAGAGAGGGATTTTGAGTTCGGGTGTACGGGGCTTCCTTCGGCGGGAACGAAACACGTGCAGGGAGCAGCAGTAGCAGCAGTAGCAGTAAGTAGCAGCAGTAGCAGTAAGTAGTGGGCAGCAGCAGCGACAGCAGCAGCAGTTGTCGCGGCAATCAGATCTTGATGGACGACGGGGCGATTCTTCTGGGCTGGGCACGAAGAATGAGAGCTCGCAGAATCTATACCCACAACTATGAGCATCCCAGCTTTAGCTGAGAGGTCTTTATTTTGGCAATCCGCTCTGGAAGCCAACACGATGTCTTTTTGATCGATATTCTCTATAACTGGCAGCGCCCATATTGCGGTAGCACAGCAACTTACTAAACACACACAGCAGTCACCCCGGCTTCCCCCCTCGGACCACTCTTTC